CAAAGTAAGAAAAATTTTAAATAATCTAAACTTACACCTAAAGAAACTAAAAGAACAATGTACAAAGCTTGAAGTGAGTACAAGGAAGAGTATAATGAAGGTCAGAGCTGAAATATAATACATAAGGTAATGAAACCAAGAGCTGGCTCTTTGAAAAAATAAACAATACTGACAAACATTTAATCAGCCTCACCAAGAGACAAAAATAAAGGACCCAAATAAAATCAGAAATGAAAGAGAAGTAACAACTGACATCACACAAAGGATTTTAGGAAAATACTACAATCAATTATATACCAACAAATTAGACAATCTGGAAGAAATGGATAAATTTCTAGAAATATACAATCTTCTAAGTAAAAATGAAACAGAAAATCTGAATAGACTGTTCACAAGTAGCAAAATTTAATCAGTACTTAAAAAAAAAACTTCCAACAAACAAATGCCCCAGACAAGTGGCTTTACAGGTGAATTTTATCTAACATTCGATACACACCCATCTTTCTAAAACTATTATATAATATTTAAGAGAAGACTCCTCCAACTTCATTTTATGAGAACAGCATTATCCTGATTTCAAAACCAGGTAAAGACACCATGAAGAGAAAAATTATAGGCCAATATCCTAATAGACATAGGTAGATACAAAAACCTTCAACAAAATATTAGCAAACCAATTTTAGTGAAACATTAAAACAATCATATACCATGATTAAGTGGGATTTATTCCTGGGATGCAAGGATGGTATAGTATTTGTGAATGAATTCACATAATAAACAAAAGATAAAAAACTATATGATCATATTAATAGATGCAGAAAAAGCACTTTACAATATCCAGCACCCATTCATGATTAAACTCTCAGCAAAGTGGAAATAGAGGGAACTCACCTTAACAAAAAAAAAAGGCCATGTTGGACAGACCCACAGCTCGCATCATACTCAATGGGAAAATACTAAAATTGTTTCCTTCAAGACCAGAAACATGATGGGGATATCTACTTTCATTGCTCTTTAAACCATAGTGCTGGACACAGCGATCAGACAAGGAGAAGGACCAGAAGTCATCCAAACTGGAAAGGAAGAAGTAAAACTGTCATTATTTAAGATGATACGACACTATGTAGAGAGCACCCTAACAGTACACCAAAACAAAACTAGAGCTGAAAAATGAATTCAGAATAAATAAACAGAAATCATTTGCATTTCATACACCTATAATGAACTACCCGAAAGAGGAAATAAGAAAAACAATTTCATTTAAATTTATATCTAAATAATACCTAGGAGTAAATTTAACTAAGGAGGTAAAAGATCTGTACTGGGGAAATTATAAGACATTAAGGAAAGAAATTAAAGAAGTTACAAATAAATGGAAGCATATATCGTGTTTCATGGGTAGGAAGAATTAACATAATTAAATGTCCATACCACCCAAAGCAGTCTATAGATTCAACCCAGTTCCTGTCAAAATACCCATGATGTTTTTCACAAACTAGAACAAATAATATAACAATGTATATGGAATCACAAAAGACCTTAAAGAGCCACAGCAATGTTGAGGAAGAAGAATAAAGTTAAAGGTATGATGCCTGATAACAGACTAAACTATAAGGGCATAGTTATCAAAATGGCATTGTACTGACATAAAACCAGACACGCAGATCAACAGAGAAGAAGAGAGTCCCAGAAATTAACCCTGGCCTATAATGGTGAATTAATGTATGACAAAGAACGCAAGAACATACAATGGGGTAACGTCAGTTTATCTAATAAATAGGATTGGGAAAATTGGACAGATACATGCAAAAAATGAATCCGGACCACCTTCTCACACCATATACAAGAAGAAACTCAAAAATGGATTCAAGACTTATATTTAAGACCTGAAACCATAAACTCCTAGGCTGTCGAATATAGCAAACGAGACTACATCAAACCAGAAGGCTTTTTGCACAGCAAAAGAAACCATCAAGGAAATGAAAAAACAATCCACTAAATTTGTTCTTACAAGTGTAAGAACATATTCAGCAATGATACCTCTAATAAGGGTTTAATATCCAAAATTTATAAAGAACTTCTACAACTCAACACCAAATAAACAATCCAATTAAAGAGTGGGCAATAGACCTAAATAGACATTTCTTCAAAGAAGACATACACATGGCCAACAGGCATAAGAAAAGGTGCTCAACCTCACTCATTACCAGAGAAAAGCAAATTAACACCAAGTAAGGTATTACCTCACACCTGTCATAATTGCCACCATTGATGAATCCACAACATGCAAGTGCTGGCGAGGATGTGTAGAACAGGGAAGGTTTGTGCGTTGTTGGTGGGAATGCAGACTGGTGCAGCCATTGTGAAAAACTATGCAGTATCTGCCCCCCACACCCTTAAATTTAAAAATGGAACTGCCTTATGACCCATCGATTCTGCTTCTCTGAATATATCAGAAGAAACCTGATACACTAATTTGAAAGTAAACATGTGCCCCTGTGTTCATTGCAACATTATTTACAGTAGCCAAGACTTGGAAGCAATACAGCTGCACATCAAGACATGAGTAAATAAAAAAATTGTGAGATATTAGTCATAAAAGTGAATGAAATCTTATCACTTGAGATAGCATGGATGGATTAGAGAATATTATGTTAAGTAAAATAGGGCAGAGAAAGACATACACCATGTAATTTCACGTAAATGTGGGATCTAAAGAACAAAATGAATGAACAAGCAAAATAGAAGCAGATTCGTAGCTACAGAACAAGTGTATCAGAGGAAAGGGGGGCTTGAAGGACAGTTGAATCAGGTGAACAAATTAAAAAGTACAAATTGGTTATTACAAAACAGTCCCGAGATAGGAAGTATAGTCAATAATATTGTAATAGTGTATGTGTGATGCCAGGTGCGTATTTAAAATATCAGGCAAAACACTTTGTAAAATATATGACTGTCTAACCGCTATGTTGTACACCTTAAACTAATACAAAAAATATTCAGTGTAGACTGAATAAAAATAAAAGAAAAAGAAAACCTATAGTAAAAATGCATACTATTTTTCAAGGAATCTGGATTTGGGTGTGCATGTTTGAATGTAAGTCCTTGCAAACGGTGGACCATGTGAGCCTCTGGCCTCTGTTAAAGTTACACACAGAACAAGATGGTCCTGGGTAAATACTTTTTATGAAGCAAACTGAAGTAGAAGTGTGGTGGCCAAGCTCACTGCTTTTCTCAATTCTTTTTTTCTCTCTAATCACTACTCCTCGGTCAGTGCGCTGCTAGGAAGAAATGTTGCAATGGTTGATGATGTTTAGGAACCTGGTAGGGCCCCACCACCCGTGGATACAGTCTCTGTGCAGTTTAAAGGCCCGAGAGCTGACAGGCTGTGTCCTCTCAGACTCTGCCACCGTGTTGGAGAGCATGGGCCTGGCCACAGTGTCTGGCCCTGGGCGGCAGCGCCCTTCTGCACAAGGGCAGTGGGAGGTGCCTTAGACTCACTGGGTTCTGAGAACTGGGACATATAGCCTCTCATACCTTTCTTCTTGTACTTGTTGCGAGATTGATTCTGGAATTTCTTCCTGTTGGAGTAACAAGATTAGAGACTCAGATTCATGTTTGGGGCTGAAGGTAGGACATGGGGTTCAGCCAGTTTCTCTAACGTTCTATGGTAGAGTTTGGGGCTGAAGCCTCTGCTAATTACCTTACTTTTTTCTCTGCCGACGTCTCCCTTACGGAGCTTGTGGTATGTAGTAATGGCTCAAAAGAAGTAGTTTCTCTGGTCCTTCCCCCAAATGACGTCTTCCTAAATTGGTGAGTCAGGGACTCTTTTTATCATTTATTTATTCATTCATTCATTCATTTAATTATTGTTCAAGTACAGTTTTCTGTTTTTTACTCCCATCCCAGCCCACCCCCCCCAGTGCTCCCCACCTCCCTCCCATTTCCACCCCCCTTAGTTGTTGTCCATGTGTCCTTTATACTAGTTCCTGTGAATCCTTCCCCCTTTTCCCTGAAATTCCCTCCCCTCTTCTTTTCATCTTTTGTTATGACTACACCAATCAATTTTCACACATTCTCCAAACAATATTTTGAGATGCTAAATTATTCTTCAGTAAACATTTATGCTCTCAGTAAGTATTTTAATCTAAAGCTGAACGTTGAAATAAAGAAGGAATCGCTGAGATAGAAAAAACACAGGAAAAAAATGGATTTTCTACTGTGTACCAGGAATTGTGCTGCATGCGTGTTGGGCAAACAAAACCAAGAGGAAAGTTAACAGGTAATTACAACACAGTCTTCAAAGGGTCATGTGGAAAATGTATGGAGGGAAAAGGAGAGCACGCTCTTGGAGGCTATGAACCATAATTTGAGTTTTTGAAATAAGAAGAGCCCTGTTCAGTATGGCTGGGTTACTTGGGCATTGTCCCACAAAGCAAAAGGTAACTGTTTCCATTTCTGATCAGGGCATACCCCAGGGTTACGGGTTCGGTCCCCAGAAGGGGAACGTATAAGAGGAGGCGATTGATGTGTCTCTCGCATCAATGTTTTTCTCTCTGTCTCCCTTCCCCTCACTCTAAAAATAAATAAACAAATAAAATTTTTTAAAAAAATAAGAAGGAATTGCCTTGTCCTGGTGGCTTGGTTGGGTGTTGTGTGGCAAATCAAAAAGGTCACTGGTTCAATTCCTCCTCGGGGCACGTGACTGGGTTGCAGGTTTGGTCCCCAGTTAGGATGTGCACGAGAGGCAACAGACCGATGTTTCTCACATTGATGACTCTGCCTCCCTCCCTTCCCCTCCCTCTAAAAATAAATAACCAAAATCTTTAAAAATAAAGAACTAGCAGATAAGAGAGGGGAAGAGTGGGGCATAGGCAGAGTGAGGGATGGGCAGAAGCAGCTGCATGCCAAGATAAGGTGTTTGTATTCCATCTTGAACATGCTGGGGAGCCGTTGGGCATTTTATGATTACAAGTAATAGGATGTGATTTAACATTTAGGATGTTTGCTGGCACTCCCGAGAGGATGAATTATGCGGGGGCCACACTGTTGCAATGCCATTGCCCTAACTCACCTGATGAGGTATGAACCTTTGCAGGGGGTGAGAGGAGGAAGATGGGAAATGAGAGGAGAAATGTGGATCATTAAGGATAATTGAGAATGAACATCACTGATGGGATACAGAGAGAAAAGGACAGGAAACAATGTAGGACAAATCATAGGATTCTGAATTGGGTCAGTGGTGGCCAGTCACTTTCAGGAAGAATAGTAGATTTGGGGGTGTTGGCTTTAGGGATTTAGTGAGGACACAGTGTTGCCCTCCCCCATCTTTACCTCACATTCTTTCCATTTTAGGAGGATGACTAATGGGGTTTTTGATGCAATAAAAACAAAGGCCCATGGGCATCGTAGTTTTTTTTCTTTGTATTGCATTCCTTAGTGCTCTGATCACCTTTACTTGTCTGTTTAGATTGCGCAGGTCAGAGTCCCAGCTTGACTGCACAGGAAGGTTTGAGGTCCAAAGTCCTAACTAGGCACGAGCAGCCCAGTTTTCCACACACATCTCTTGAAGATTTGATGCAGCCATAGGGAGCTTTCAAAAAATTGGGATTCCAGATATTTCTCTATTTCTTTACACTTAACACCTCGTTGTGCAGACCTCGAGTCCCTGTGGAAGGAACAAGCCTCCAGCATTGGGAGTTGACCTTTAATGGTAGTTCCTTAAACTTCATTGGAAACGCAGGTCTGCAGGAGAGTAGAACCTGACTTTGGGTTCATCTGCTGGGCCCAGGGCGGCTCAGAGGTGAGGCTTCGGTTTGGTGGTGTCAGGCACAGCGTGAACTACCCTCGGTTTTCCTTTTTTTGTTTAGCAGGTGGTCAATAAAAATTTCTAGACCTTTGAACAAATAAATGTTTTAAGGCAGTTTGTGGTAATTGTTAGGGCATCCCTAGAAAATGAACACAGCAGGGTTCTTATAAAAAGTAAATTAGTGAACACAGGTGAAGCACTTAGGGGACTGGCACAGAGTGTTTTCTGAGTGTGTGCTCTCAATGACCCCGAGTCGCACGAGTGGTAAATAATGGGGCTAGTGAAACTCAGACTGTCATGCAATACTGATTTTATGAAATGGGAAATATCTTTATCTCAATAAAAGTGAAAAATTAAAAAATAGTAAGAGTAATGACTTTCGAAGTGATCCAAGATGGTGGAGGAGTGACTGCAAGTTACATTAACTTACTCCCAGGACCAATCTGGAATTGCACTACGTTGTGCGGAAATCACTTGGAATAAACAAGTGAACAATAGTGGGAGAGAAGCCTTATAAACATGGATAAACAGAAGAAACAGCTTCGACACAATGTGACTGTTAGGGAGTGAGGAGGGGCCTTGAGAAGGCTGGCTGGGCTCCCACAGGTGGCAGCTGAAGTGCCGGAGGGGTATCTCAGTGGCCGGAAGGATCCCCCCAAGAAGTGTGAAGTCTAAATTCCAATCTGGGGTCCCCAGCCTACAGCACCACAACACAAAAAGTACAGATAACATCCAGCTGTGAAAAAAGAGGCAGGGTTTCTCTCTGCCAGAAATGATGGCTGGAGATGCAAAGAGCTGTTCAAAGGATGAATGCATAAATTTTCATTCGGAGCCACTTACCCTGCGTTCCGGCAAAGAGGGCTGCATAGTGGGCTAGAGATGCCCGAGGAGAGACTGGGTATGGTGGCATTGGGGAGAGAATTGAGAGAACAGCCACCAGGATCCTGGTGCCGAGTCGTCCCCCACACTGCAAGGGCCATCTCGCTTGGGCAGAGCACTCCCCTTGACTAGCATCAGCTTGAGGGGGAGCAGTAGCCCCACCCTCAGGAGACTCTGCCCTGCCTGTGGTACTCCAGCCTGACTACTGAGTGCCAAGTGAGCAGAATAACACCTGAAGGAGGCATCTAGAGACAGCAGATTCCTGCCACCCTTGAATGGGCTGCCCGAGGCCAGATGGGGTCACCATCCGATCCCAGGGGCGGATCCAGAAAGAAAGAGCAGTGGTAAATACTGGATGCTACCAAGATGAAATCCACTGTGGTCCTCTCCAGGATTTGCAGTATTTTCTTTTCTGTATAGTTTTTTAACATTCATTCCTTGTCTGTCAAGTTTGTACATATTAAGTCACTATATTTTATATTATAGTTTATTTCAGTTCTCATATTTTGTTCCTCCCCCATTTCACCTTCTCCTTTCCTCTTATTAATATCGCTTTAAATTTTGTTTTCTCTCTTGGTACAACTTGTTTTCATTCCTCTTACTATTTCTGCCCTGTCCAGCCTCTCAAGGCCAATTTTCTTGTCAACGGTCACCTCACATTCCTTTCCCCAATCTTCAAATACCCACTCTCTCTCCACCTTTAGCAGTCTGCTTGCTGGTTGTGGTTAGGGTAGTTGTTGCATTTTTTTCGGTAATTTCTCTAATCTTCACTATTCTTGTATTCGAAATCTCCAGTTTTCCTGTACACATCTCCTACTCCATTCTGCCCTCATCCCACCTCTTCTTTTTCATCCCAAATTTTAACTTTTCTCTTAGACTGTTTTTGTTTTCTCTTTCATCTTGTACTTTTTTTCATCTCGAATTTTAATTTTGCCCTTTCTTAGGTCTGGTTTTAATTCCTCACTTTTAGTATTTCCTCTCCTTCTATCATCTCAAAATCACTTCCCTTTCCTCTGGGCATCTCTTATCTTTTCTGCCCTATTCCCATCCCACCTATGTTAGTCTTAATGCATTTGTTGTTCATAGTGCAGTGGTGGATCTTTTTCTCCAGTTTCTTTCCTATTTTTTAAATTACTTACTTATTTTTTCCCTTTTATTTCTTTTACTTTTTGCTTTATTTTTTAACTTTTATTAATTTTCAAAACATTTGTTTAAACATAATAGTATATACTTCCCTTCTTGCTCCATTCCACCTTCTTCATTCCCTGTTTTATTTATGATGCAAATTTTATTCTCTTCACATTGCTCTGATTCCCTACTCTTATTAGTGCTCCTCCCTTTACCCTCTCAAAATCAATTTTCTTTCAGTGAGTCATGTCATACCCGTTCCTCCTTTTTTATAAGTCTTATTAATCTCTTTACACCCTTATTAATACGGGTTCACTTGCTGTTGATGGTGGGCTTGTGGGTGGGAGTTATTTTTGCGGGTGTAGGTTTGTTTCCTGGGCTGTTTCTGTTCTGCCAGCACCTGCTCAACAGCATGCAAGATGTGGTGGGCGGAGAGACCCTCAGCCAGCCAGCTGGAGGGAAGGACCCACAAAGAATGACCCAACAACAGTCAAACCCAGTTACATCCAGAGAGCCAGCATAAAGGGCATCCCAAGAGCATCAAGTTCAGGAAATCAAGGAGGCTGCACCACTGAATCCACAGGTTTCCTACCACAGAAGGTCACACCACAAAAACAGGGAGTCAAAGCGGATCAATCTAACACACAGGAACAAACAAGAGGAATCGCCCCTAAAATGGAGAGACAAAGAAGCAAACCCCAATCAAAAGTTAAGGAAGAGTCCCCAGAAAGACTGGTAAATGAAACAGAGGCAAGTAAACGATCAGACATTAAGTTCAAAACAGTGGTTATAAGGAAGCACAATGGGCTCAGTGAAAATTACAAAAAACTACAGGGAAGCTGCAAGGAACTTACTGAAAACTACATCTGCATGAAAAAGGACATAGAAACTATCAATAAGAGCCAGGAGGAAATGAAAACTGCAATTTCTCAATTGAATAATAGACTAGAAGGTATTGAAAGTAGGCTAGAAGAAGCAGAGGATCGAATCAGCAAGCTGGAGGATAAGGTGGACAAAAATTCTCAGAAAGAGCAAGAAAAGGAAAAAAAGACTCAAAAAGAATGAAGAGGAGTTAAGGGAACTTCAGGACAACCTGAAAGGTAACAATATTCATATAATAGGGATACCAGAAGGAGAAGAGGAGCAAGGAACAGAAAACTTGCTTGAAAAAGTAATGATAGAAAACTTCCTTACTTTGATGAGAAAAAAACTCACAGAACTCCAGGAAGCACCAAGAGTCCCAATCAAGATGAACCAAAAGAGGCCCATTCCAAGACACAGCATAATTAAAATGGCAAAATTCAATGACAAAGAGGGAATCTTAAAGGCAGCAAGGGAGAAACAAGAAATAACACACTGGGGAGCCTCAATAAGGGTAGCAGCTGACTTCTCAGTGGAAGCACCCAGGGTGCTTGAAGCACCTACAAGCCAGGAGGGAATTGCAAGAAATATCCCAAGTAATGAAAAGCAGAGGCCAGCAGTCAAGACTACTCTACCCAGCAAGGCTCTCAATTAAAATGGAAGACCAAATAAGGAGCTTCCCAGACAAAAGGAGGCTCAAAGACGCCTCCAGCAAAAACAGCATTGCAAGATATGGTACAAGAACTGGTTTAAGAAGATGAAGAAAAAAAGAGAACACAGGTACAAAGGGGAAAATGGCAATGCATAAGTATCTATCAGTAATAACCTTAAATCTAAATGGATTAAATCCTCCAATCAAAAGATACAGGGTAGCTGAATGAATAAGAAACCATGGCCCTCACTTATACTGCCTAGAAGACACCCAGCGGAGAACAAAAGACCTACACAGGCTAAAAGTGAAGGGTTAGAATGAAATATTCCAAGAAAATGGACCAAAAAAAAAAAACACCAAAAAAAACCCAGGGTTGCAATACTTGTATCAGACAAAATAGATTTCAAAACAAAAGGTCATAAAAGGACGTACAGAAGGACACTTCATAATACTCAAGGGATGAATCTGTAAAGAAAACATAACCCTTATAAACATATATGCTCCCAACATAGGAACACCCGAATATATAAGGAAAATCTTTGAGGATTTCAAGAAATATATAGATAGCAATGCACTCGACAGTAGGGGATTTTAACACCCCACTGTCAACAATGGGCAGATCTTCCAAACAGAATCAACAAAGACATTGTGGCACTGAACGGCACACTAGATAAAATGGACTTAACTGATACATAGAGAATGTTTCACCCCAAAGAAGCAGAATACACACTCTTTTCACATGCACATGGAATAGTTTTCAAAGATAGACTACATGATAGGACACAGAACAAGTCTCAATAAATTCAAGAAAACTGAAATCCTATCAAGCATTTTCTTAGGCCACCAGCACTTGAAACTAGAAACCAACTTCAAGGAAAAAAGTTCAAAAACAGTCAAATTCATAGAGATTGCATAACATGTTATTAAACAAGGGATGGGTTAACAATGAGATCAAGGACGAAGGGAAAATGTTTCTGGAAATGAAAGTGAACTCACAACATCCCAAAACCTATGGGACATAGTGAGGGCATCCCTGAGAGGGAAGTTAATTGCGATACAGGCCTACTTAAAAAGGATAGAAACATTTAAAATACACAGCCTAACCCTACCTCCACAAGAACTGGAGGAATAACAGCGAACAAAGCCCAGAGTGAGTAGAAGGAAGGAAATAATAAATTTGCAATATTCACAAATAAACATAATACTTAACATAAACAAAAGACAGAAATCACAGGATTGTAACATGCTGAAAAAGCATTTGATAAAGTACACCACCTATTTATGATAAAAAAACACTCAGCAAAGTGCGAATAGAGAGCATTGCTCAACATAATAAAGGCCATATATGAGAGCCCTCAGCCAACATTATACTGAACAGGCAAAAACTGAAAGCTTTCCCCCTAAGGTCAGGAACAAGACGGAGGTGTCCCCCTTCTTGGCCCTATCCATTCTCCACCAGCAATTCATTTTAATGTGTGCTTTTTATGTTCAGCCTTTCTGTGTTCATTTGGGCTATCTGTTCGGCCATTTGTCTGTTTCCTCATTCCACTTGCCAAGGAATTTCCCTAGTTTCTTTCTCAGAGGTAACTGTTGTACTAAACAATTTAAAATAGTGGTGTGGAAGCATGCCAAGTTAATTACCTACACCGTGTATCATCATGCACAATTTCTGAGCCCAGCTTTACGTTTACAAAACCACCTCTGGGCACAATAAACTCTTGGGGGTGGCCTTCCTCCCTGTGAGTCTGGTGAATCAAAAGGGCTTTTTGGGGGGAGACCTCTTTCCTTATAGACAGGGATGGTCTACAGGCTGCTGTCCTTGATGTCAGGTTGCACCTGGGGTGACCAACAAAGGCTCCAACCCAATTCTGGGGTCCAGGTTCCTGTCATGACCGAAGATGGGATTAGAGAACAGGACAGAAAGACTTAGCAAAGCACAGTAAGCACTCAGGAAGTAGGTAGAGTGACCTTGGTGAAGGAGATGCCCCAGTGGGCTCTAGGTGAAAGAAAAAAATTTAAGATTAAGAAAAAAACTTAATTTGAAAGAGAGGGAGACATACTGCTTTGCTGCTTCATCTGTATATGCATTTATTGGTTACCTCCTGTATGTGTCCTGACCAGGGACTGAACCTGCAACCTTGGTGCATCAGGATGATGCTCTAGTCTAATGGAGCTACCCCACCACGGCTGGGTGGGTTTTGATCAAACATGGACGGCAGTGGTGGGGTGGTGTGTGAGGGTTAGAGTGGTCCTTACTTTCTGGTGCCAGTGGGGGTGACTGCCCACGTGGCTTGTCCTTGACCCTCCTCTCAGATAGCAGGTTGGTCCTCTCAGTTACAGGAAACTAAGGAGGGGAGAAGTGGGGAACAGATGGCTGGTGAAGGTCATGTCTGCAGTGTTCCGGCCAAAACTGAAAAGGTGGGTGGGGATAAGAGCTTGAGGCCTTTGTTGCCTGCTGCACCCTGACCTGAGGAAAGAGAGTGGCCTCTGCCACCTTTGGAGAACTCAGTCAGGCATTTTCTCGTTCACTCTTCGGCTGCTTCATGCAGAGAAGGCATCTTCTATTAGACTCCACTTGAATGGGGCTTTGTTTCTGGTATTTTGATAATACAATAAATGAAATTCTCCCTAGTGCATTAGAATTTACTAGATTCTGCTGTAGTTTGAAGCCTAAGTTCTAGGTAAATAAGAACACAACACATACTTTGCCTTTACCTTTTCCATTTATTTCTCTCGGGACTTTGGGATGGAGAAGAGGCTAAATATTCTTTGGTTATTACTAATGTCCAAATATTTGAATGTTGTAATTTTGTGACTTTATTTGCTTATTGTTCCACCATTTCCAGCAATGGAACAGTTCTCTAGATTTAGACTACTTTATACTTCCCTCCCAGTATCCTCACAATCCTGCCTTTCTTCTTCCTTGGAAACTACTGTAGTATTCAAGAACGTCAGGATTCAATGCATAACAAAATTCTACAGGAACTTCCCCCTTACAAATGACAAGAATGTGTGCCCCACCATCTCCCTATGTTCAGCTGTTGTGCTACTTGCTTGCTCCAGGTTCTTCATCTTGCACTGGCCCTGCTGCTGCAGACAGGGCTTGCATTCAGATTTAGGAGCAATCGTGTCCCCCCAGCACCCTCAGAAAATACAGTAATTCACAAATGACCAGAGATTTAGTGTTAGCATATGAAATTTTGAAGGGGGTCAGCAATACAATTAATATTCTATGTCCCAACCAGCTGGGCCAGTCTCCCAACTTTCCCTTATATAGAATTCTCTGGACAGATTTTTGTTTATTGCACTTCATGCAGATAAGTCAGTGAATTAAAAGGCAGCCTCTTCCATACTGCCAGAATTTAATCAACTTCCACATAAATAGTAGGAATTTGAGGGTGCCACATTCTACCCAGAATGAATTGTCTAGACCTATGGTTCAGAAATGTCTGCATGCTAGGTGTCTCCTGCAAACTCCAGGCCTAGGTCTTACCTGTGCGCCAATATTCCACCTGTGGCACTGCTAACCACACCAAGCTCCTCTGTCCTCATGGAAAACTACTCTGCGCTCCCTGATCTCTTTGTGAGTACAAATGATGTTTAGAAGAATCAGCAACTAGAAGCCTTGGAAAGTGAATAGGTAAAACAAAGTTTCAGAAACCACAGAACTTGGCTACCAGCATTATTTTTACTTATTTCATGTGTATAAAGAACAGTGGCTGACTGGTATTAAAACCCAACCAATTAAAATCTCATCACTGACCAAGAGAGAATTTGCTTGGGCTGTTGGGGCTGAGGTCTCGCTTCCCTGCCCGTACTCCTCCAGTACACACTGGCGCACACGCACTGGGAAGCAGAGGGAAGGATCCAGACACAGACGGCATCTCCCTTCTCATGCTTTCATCCCACACCCTGTGCTCCATCCATGGAGGACAGTCTCCCAGTCCCTGCCACTCCCACAGTCAAAGCAAGTGATGGTCATACTTATTCAGCCTTGTTTCTATGGTCCCTTATCAGGCAACGGAGATCCCTGGGCCATGATACTACTATTTAGTTCTTAATCACATGAAAATGAAATAACATAAGAAAAAGCAAACAAGGCAAATACATGAAAGCCATTTACTCCTGGTAAATTCTTCAGGGTCCCAGGTGCTGGGATTCATAACTTTCCCTGATATCAGAGACCAGGGTCAGGCATCAGAATAGTCTTGATGGCCTTGGCCAGCAGCAACAGCTTTTTCTTAGCTTTTCCATTGGATCTCAATCTGCGGTTTTCTTTATGTAAGTGAGGTGACCCAGTCAATCATGATTCTCTATTAGTAGTGCCCTTATGAGCTGACACTTCCACAATTCCCTCACACACCCCTGTGAAGAAGGTGGTGTGAGTGGGCTGGTACATACGTGGCAATGTAAATGCTTTCATTGACTTAATTACACTTTATTAAATCCCTCAGCACCCAAACGCCACATCCCACTTGTAGTACGAAAAGTGGTAGGGACAAAGCCAAGAGACTGGCAGAATAGCAGGAAGGCTAATGACAGCATGAGTGTTCTAACAAAAACCCCCACACAGGGAAAGAGGCCTCTAATTAGGTCCTCCTTTCTAGCAGTGTCTGGCACTTGGTGTGACTCTGACCACGGGGAAGGGAGCACCCTGACAAGGTCCACATGAAGCAGCTTTGAGGTTTTCGCCCATCAAACACTTCTCCCAACTCTCCCCAATATCAAGGAAAGTGTGTGGTGAGGGTGAGTCAGTGAGATGTGTAGTTATCCTGTGACTGCGTGGCAAAGCCATCAGGACACAAATATCCAGCCTCGAGTTCAGGGCTGTGTGCTTTAAAATCGAGCTCAGGAAGGACAAGAGTCCTACAGGCTGGTCCCTTACAAAACCTGAATGGTTGTTCTGGGCAGCTTTAACTTCAGGCTGTTGAGTAGTCTTTAGAGTAGCTAACAGCCTAGTGGGAAAAACAGAATAGCCACAACTCTTAAGTCTTCTAATTCTCCTACTTCATACCCATTACAGGGAGGCAAGAACACTCCAGTCAAGGAATGGGCCTCAACTCAGGTTATAATTTTGGGCAAAATAGATTCTCAAGGAGAGGTTGAGAGGTTCTGCCTGGGGTGGGAGTTGTTCTTTGCAAGATGTTGATCTGGGCAAGTCAGGGAGACTCCCTGGAAAAGGTCTCCCCAGGATAGCCAGAGGGCTCCCCCAAGCCCATGCCTGGGCTAGAGCTGAGCACAGACCTCCTAAGTTGGGCTCCTAGCTAGGAGGTCTTGTCTGAGTGGGTCCTCTGATGCCTGATTAAGTGATACCCTCTGCTGAAGCTCTTCCCGCACGTCGGGCACGTGAATGGCTTCTCACCAGTGTGTGTTCTTTGGTGCCTGACGAGGTGGTCCCTCCGGCTGAAGCTTTTCCCACACTCATCACAGCGGCAAGACCTCACTGAGGCATGTCCTCTCAGGTGCTTGGCGAATGCGGCACTATGGGTGAAGCACCGCCCACACTCACTGCAGAGATACAGCTCATCGGTAGCGTGTGTCTTCTGGTGTGCCAGGTATCGCCTGTGGTCACTGAAGTCCTCTCCACACTCTCCACACAAGTAGGGTTTGCCTCCGAGGTGGATTCTTTGGTGTGTTGTTAGCACAGACTTCTGGCTGAAGCTTTTGCCACAAATAGTACAGAAGAAGGGTTTTTCCCCCGTATGTGTTCTGTGATGCCTCACAAGGTCCGAAGTCCAACGGAAGTGTTTGCCACAATCATCACATCTATAGGGCTTCTCAACAGGTGGAGTTCTTGCAGCTGGGACCAGAGGGGACATCTCATTCAAATTCTTCCGGTTTAGGGGAAATTTATAAGGCGGGCCCAATTTGTGAACCTTTTGGTGCCTGGCAAGATGAGAGCTCCGTGTGTAACTCTTTCCACACTCCATGCATTTATAGGGTTTCTCTCCCGTGTGAGTTCTCAGGTGTCTAACAAGATGGGAGTTACATGTAAACGTTTTCCCACATACAGAACAACCATGATGTCTCCCTAACAGGGGGTGGAGAGGCATGGCTTCCTGAAGATTTGTCAAACTATTAACTTGAGAAATATTTCCATCAAATCTTCTTTCATTAAGTCTGTCTGGGTCATCCTCAAAGACTATTTCCCAATCTGGAGTCTGGTGGACTTCTGGATCTGCTAATACAGACGTGTGTACATCCTCCAAAGTCAGATCTTGCTCAAGAAACTCTTCCTCATCTTCACTCCTGTCTCCTGAAGATAGGACAGGAGGAGAAAAGGGAAAATTACATAGGTAATGACACCTTCTGCACAATGTGGGGATTCTAAAAAAGTCCTGGAAGGGCCAGACCACATAGCAAGAAACTGTTATTTTGTAACTGCAGGGGTTGGGAGGAAAGGAAATAATCAGTCATCTGAATGCTTGTGGTAGGCTAGGCACTTGTCTTATGTGACCTCCTCAAGCTGTTAGAAAGCCTTAATGTGGACAAATATTATTATTATCCTCATTTCACAAATATGGAGACTGAGGGTCTAGAGTTTAAGTGAACTGCTTAGTAAATGATATAGCCACAATACCGGAAGTCCTGCGTTTTTCCTCCCTCCTTTCACATATACCTCAAATGAACGATGGGCAGGGTAGGAGGAGGAAGAGGATGAAGAATGCGGCATATGGAGGAAGACAGTAGTAATCCCTGACAAAGTATGAGAACCAATGAGAGAGGTACCCCAGAGGGTGGGAGCAGCAGTGACTGAAGGCCCTGCCGGCTCCAGGGACAAAGGTTCCCTTTGTCTTTCCTCACCTGTGTAGGTAAAACTCAGGATTTCTGGCTCTTGAGGCTCTGGAATATCTGGAACCAAAGGCTCTTCTCTTCCGTGGGAGATGTCCTCTAGTCTGGGGATCGGGAATGCTGTTTGAGAGGGAAACGAGACATGAAGGTTGGCTGGACAGCCCCGTGTTAAACGGTCAGCCAGGCTGGTCGATCGAATCTTCATTGCCTCCAACCAGACACTGCACACCTTTTTTGCCTTTCTCCTACAGCTCAAAAGTTACACAACTGTAAATGCTACCCTCTTTCTCTACATTCAAAGAAGTAGATTATCTCCAACTTTTATTGTCTCAAAAACTTGTGCTTACCTCAACTACCCTGAAGCTATGATGTTACAACTTTATTTTGTTATTAGAAGTTTCACCTTCTGAGCATTTTCTCCTCCCTGTAACTTAGCAGCACATCACCGTTCTCAGCTAACCCTTCAGTATCTTTGGTGAAACAGGCACAGACGCAGCACATGCAGCCTGAGCTCCAAGACCACCATAACGACCAAAGGAGAAAGATCTCTGTGCTTATTAGAACATCCCGGAAACATCAGAAATTCCTTACACAAGGAGACCACAATTCCACAGTCTTCTTCCAAGACATACTCCCCATAGAACTCCTTCTGTGTTGGGTCCAGATCATTCCACTGGTCCTGGGAGAAGCATATAGCCACGTCCTTGAAAGTCACCAATCCCTGAAACGACAGCAGGACCCCATTTCCAATGTGAGGCCTCAGAGAGCCTCACTCCTCGTTCCTGGAGTGAAGGTCTCTGGTACAGGCAGGAGACAACGCAACTCAAAGGGGAGACGTGGCGCCCTTCCAGGAAATTTGTGTCTCACCCTCTGTCACTGCTTCCAGACTTTGTCCTTTCACACTGCCCTATTGCTGTTCTCCAGCCTCACTTTCAGAATGATGATGTTCTTCGAGAGGGTACTGTTACAAACACAGTCTTAAAAGCTGTCATTCAACTCCCTATTTGATGCTTTAATGTTATTGGCATTTCTGTATAAAGTCATCTTTTCTAGGAAGCTTCCCTAAGTGACCCCCTCTAATCAGTCGCCTTTAGCACTCAGAAAGCCCGCAGGTGTACACAGGACTTCTTCACTCAGCGAGGCTGCAGGGAAACATGTGGAGAAGCCCTGTTCTTTCTCCCTCCAGCTGCACAGCTTCACTCCCGGCTCTGCCTACGGTCAGCCTGCATCCGTGCTGTGGCCTGACTGCAGTCCCCGGGAGAGCATGGCATGCAGTTTCAGGAACTGCTTCTGCAGCAGTCAGTCAACTCCTATGAACCCAACAACTGCGGAGTTGTACTGGAGTGTGCACTACAGCCCAGTCCCACTCAGCAAACCCCCCGGTCAGTGGCAAACAAAGACTCTCTGGAGCCTACAGATCTAGCTGAGGCTGTTACAGTTTATCTCATCAGCTGCAATTGCCCCAACCCCTCAGACAAAGGAAGAGCTGAGAATTTAAACAGACAAAAAGCAGAGTGGGTCTGATCCGCTGAGTGTCCAGCTAACAAGCCCAGTGAGGACAGAGGAGATGAAGGTGCACCTGTGACAGGGCAGTCAGAAGGGCCGCCATCTCTGGGTTTCCAGGGCTCCTCTCTTCTGGAAGGCCTGGCTCCTGGGGCACCGGAACCTCTATGGAGAAAGGAAGGCGGAGATCAGCAACATGCAGTGCACTCCTACAACTGGCCAAGAGCTCAGCATCCCCATCAGCTTTGGTGGGAAGGTGGGAACCAGGAAAGTGGCCTAAGGGCCACTCAAGTCATCCCGACACCACTGTGTACAACACTATTAGATGCCAAGAGAATAACGAAGAACACCGCTCTCAAGCTCAGCCTTGATCATGGGGGACCCCTGCGAGTACTGCCTCGCCTGGACACCCTGGATTCTATGAGTCGTCCTGCTCCAACCTGCCCGGGCCCGCTGGCCCGAGAAGCACCCCCGCCCCCGTCGTCCTGCTGAGGCTTCACCGCTCTCCTGCAGAGGCTGGGGCTCCAGGTCACGGCACAGGCTCTGCTCAGCTGTGGCCCCCAGGGCTGGGCTCCGAGTGGTCTCCTCACAGGGTTCCTCGGGGCTCGGGCTCTGGGTCTGCGCGGGGTCCTGCCGCTCACTAGGTGACTCGGGCTCTGCTCCTGGGTGCTCTGTTTCCTCTGACAGGACTTCCTGGCCGTGAACATGGACAGTCACCTGGGAATAATTCCAACTTCCAGTCACCATGGAGTCAGAAGGAAAGTCTTGGTTGTCACCAGGGCTTATTTTAGGAGAAGCTGCCAACAGAAAAAACTCCCAGAGGGACCCGGATGAAGAGGGGAACTCCAGTTCCCCTGGGGCATGCGAGGAGCTGTTGAAGGCGTCCGCACAGAACAAAGCAGGGATGGTCAGACACTGCACTGCCTGCTCACGTCCCTCCACCATGCCCCTGACAGCCCTTTGTCTCCACCTGTCCCACCTGAGCAGCCGTCCTCATGGTTTGCTTCCCTATCTTGTTGTCCTGAGCGGGAAATCGGTGACTGAGGGTTTACGAGACCCTTGGAGAAAGTGACAAATACCTCCCTCACCCAGAACTGGAGATTCAATATTCAAAGAGAAAACCAAAGCCATGTGACCCTGAGGTGATGAAGGCACTTAAGATAGGCCCTAGACAGGTGTAAACCAGAAAGCCACACTCACACACACAGACACCACCTCTGCCCATGGGGCTTATGGATCTAAGTGCAACCCAAGGGCAGAGCCAATTAGATTGAAAGGGTGATTCATGGGGTCCAGTAAGCTTGCCTACTCCCAAATCCATCCTTCCAGCAAGTAGTTCCCCCACCACGTCACACAGATCAGGACTCCCCCTCCTCACCCACCGCCTTGGTCTCCTGGGCTGTTTCTGCAAACCCTCCACCAGCGTCACGGCCTCCTCCCCGCTCTCCGGCCGCTGGCCGCGCACCCAGCTCTGCAGCTCTCCGGGCAGCACAGTGAGGAACTGCTCCAGCACGAGCAGCTCCAGGATTTGCTCCTTCGTCCGTCTCTCTGGCCTCAGCCACTGGTGACAAAGTTCTCGGAGTCGAATGAGAGCTTCACGAGGGCTTGCTGCTTCCTGGTAGCGAAAGCGTCGAAAGTTCTGGTGCGAGGTCTCAAGTACGGGGTCATCCCTCTGTAAGACAGACTCTGGCCCACAGGTGAAATCGTCTTCCAATTTCACCGTTAGAATCCCCTCTTCATCCCAAAGATCCTGGTCCTCTGGTTCCAAGGCTGCGGCCATTGTCTGGCTCTGGGCTGGTCTCACACCATCTAGAGCTCACACTGCCATCACCCCCCAGTCTCAGCCTGGGCACCTCGAGGAATGTCTCCCAAGGGACCTGGGTAGAGAAGTAGAGACAAACAGTGTAAGCGTGAAGTTCTCCACAGAGACAGCAGTTCTGAACCGAATCGTAATCTTGTACATGTAACAATACTTCTTCCAATTGTTAGGCCCCCTTCCCCCTCATCTCCATAACTGCACGCTGTAAACGGACCTGGTTGGAACAGGATGCTGTACGCCTGGAGGAATGCTCCCCGCCCCCTTTCCTAGGCAAGGCTCACACCACCTAGACAAATGGCATTCCCACTTCTGAGACTTGTAATGACGAAAGGAAAACAGCAAGTGGTAAGGACACCCATAACCACCTGCTGAAAACTGTGGCACTAGTCTGTTTGACACAGATACATTTACATACATGTTACAGCGTATGTTCTCAGAAGAGACTCAGCAACGTGGCTGTAACAGGGAAGGCCTTATCCAAGTTCATTCTGAATGGGGTGATATCCAGCATTGATTTCTTCTGTGAAATGGGAGCACTGAGGAGATCGGAGGTGAGGATTTTATGGATTAACAGGGAGGAAAGCCACCTACAGTGGCTGGCACAGAGGCATCCGAATAGCAACTTTCCTCTCGTTAAGACGTCTTCAGTTGGGAGACCGACAGGCCTCCAACCCCTGTGTTCAAAACCAAAGGCGTTGTTCTTACTGCCTAACCCTCTCCTCTTCGTGGAGTCCAGCCTCGTCTGGATTATTGACTGTGAGACTCCACTTTGTCATCGTCGAATTCAACTTGGATTCTTCCCCAGTGCTTACAGTTGGCTCATTAAACCAGTTCTCTTAGGCCTCTGCGTGTTTGATCTTCTTCCCACAGACTGCTTTAGTCTGGGTCCTCATTTCTCATCTGCACTGATGGCCTTTCCTAGTCGGACCCTGGAGTACTCAACCGTGAGCCAAGTGCAAGAGTTTTACCTGGGGAGCTTTTTTGCAAAACACAGTATCAGACATCATTCTTCTGGATAGCCCGATTCAGTCAACCTAGGCAGCAGTACTGTTAGAAATGCCACTTCTGTCCCTGTGTGCACCTTGGTGGAGAAACACCTGGGTGTATACAGTTAAGAGGGAGAGTCCTGGAGCCAGGATGCTAGGGTTTGAGTCCTGGCTCCACTCTTCACCCAGTGCTAGGCCATAGGTAAGTTCGTATTCTCATCCCTCTTCACCTATTTGCAGGATGGAGGTAATAGGTATTTATCTAGTAGTTACTACAAGGATTATCTGTGAAGTGGTCAGAAGAATGATGGTACCCCAATGTTAACTTTTTAGTATTTCTAAATTATAGATCCAACCGCATCACTCAACATTTAACAGTAAGATCAGTTCCAATATCCTTAGCACAGCACATGAAGCTCTTCACAACCAGCCCTCAAGTTATGTGTTATGCTTCATATCCCACCCTCTTCTATTACCCGGCTATAACAAATTCATTGCCAGTCTCCCTACAACAGTGTCTTTTCAGGCCTCTGTACCTGTATGAAGGCTGTTCCTTCTGCATGGAATACTCACAGCCAACCCTCAATACTGCACGGTTTGTTTGTTTTCACAGGTCCCCTCTTCTTCCTCATGATTTGCAGGTTAGGTCCTTATCAATTCTCATCTGGACTATTGAAACTGCCTCCAAATGTCGGTTATCTACCTCCAGAGTGGTTACCTTCAAGTTACCAGTCACAAGAGTGAGTGCTTTTGGCAAATCTGGTCCCTATAGAAGACCTTTGTTCACTCCTCCCCGTCTTGTGAGTGAAATGCAAACCTCTAAGTAGCATATATTAGGTTGAACTTCATCTCATTCCCTTTGCCCTTCTCTCCAATCCTTTCAAACACATACACACCTGAGTGCGTGCAAAGCACGCAAAAGCCTGATACTTTGGCTTTTGAATGTGCTGTTCCTTCTAACTTTACTCTTCATTTGGTTAGCCTTTACTTATCTTTCAAAATATATAGCTTAGGCTTCAGGTCCTCTGAGAGATTTTCTTTGATGCCACCCCTATCCGTAGACATGGTTAGAAATCATGGTGCTTCCATAGCAACGTGAGCATATCTCTGTCACAGCATATCACATCAAATAGCCATTTTTGTCTTTCCTGTGAAGTGCCTTGAAGGGGCTATGCTTTTCATCAATCTCCAGTACCTATAATAACGTGCACAACGTGAGGTCTGTCTGGAAAAGTCCAGCCATTGTTAGTGTGATGAGAACAGTTTGCACAAGATCCATGTAACCTGGCAGCCAAGGATAGTGGACTGGAATGTGCGTGCATGAACAATGATGACTTCACTGTACCAGTCCGTGGGGGTGGTAGATGCTGTTGAGTGAACATGAGCATGTGTACTGTGTGGCTGTTGTATTCAAAATGACTGAGTACAGAATGAGTGTGCATGAGATTTTGCACTAAGCTTGATTATTCTGCCATGGAAACTATTCACATTCAGAAGGCCTCAAAAGGCTGCAGTTATGGGCAACTGGTGATTGGCAACTTCATCAGGAAAATGCGCCTGCTCATGCATCACATCTCATGCAGTGTTTTTTTTTTGGCAAAACATCACGTCACCTAGGTGATGCAGCCCTTAGATTCGGCACTCTGTGACTTCTGGCTTTTTGCAAAACTAAAATCACCTTTGAAAGCCAAGAGATTTAAGATGATTGAGGAGACTTAGGAAAATACGACGGGGACAGTTGTTGGTGATAGGGAGAACCGTTTAAGGTCCAAAGGTGCCTACTTTGAAAGGAACTAAGGCATCATTGCTCTATGTGCAATGTCTTCTTTTATCTTGTGTCTTCTTCAATAAATGTCTCTTTCATATTATATGGATAGATACTTTCTGGACAGCTGTAATGCATTTAAATAAACAAACCTCCAGTTTGAGGTTTTCTTCCTACTTTAACAGGAAGAACCAGTCTTTTCCCCCATCATGTTCTACCCTTTGTTAGTCACCCAATCCTGTGAATTCTACTTTTAAACATCTTTCAAGTTCACTTATTTCATCTCCACTGCCTGTCCCATTCCAGCTGTTGACCCACTAAAAGGCAGGACTATACTGGAGTCTTTTAAACCAGTGCAATACCCTCCCGGTTCCTGCACTTCATCCACTGGCACAGAAAAGGTGCTCAAGTGTTGAAGGAACGAACAGCTGGTTCAAGTTTTACCACTGGTCTTCCTGGCCCTTCCCCCTCCAGACCAAGATGCAGTATTCACACATAACTGGAGGAATTCTTCATTTTCCAATTTCTACACTTCAATAGAACTACCTCAGATTCACCTCCAAGATTATTAGTCCAGAGCTATGTCTGATGTGCTGTTGCCTATCAAATGAGTTTAATTTCAATGACCACATTATCCACTATTATCTATACCACACCTCCCATGCATGTTTCCCCATCATCCTAAAATATTTATGTACACTTTTCATCGTCTGTTTTGGCTAGTCTGTACCTCTAGATACCCGTGTGCTAGTTTCCTACTTATTGAGTCTGCCATTTCTACTTCATGGTGATTTGTTTTGCATTGCAGGTGGTTTGAAATTTTAAAAATTTCGTGCCTATCAACAAGATTGTTTTTACTTTGGGAGTTCTGAGAGCCCTAGGTTATAAAGAGAGCTTTTTAATGTAATTTCATTTGCTTTTACCTGAAAACTAATGGTTCCAATGCTCTTGGATCAGTTTTTATGTTAACTTTGTAAGAATATTCCTGAATTATGCTGGTATATTTGGGCTTATGCCTGTGAGTGATTTCTGTCCTACCCAAGGTTACATAGGCCCCCTTCCTTATCCTTTTCATTGATCACCAGACGGACTTCCACGGAGGGAAAGGCTCCAGGCTGTCAGATGGTTCAGGTCCACATACCTCCCCCATTCCCACCAGTTGTCCAGTATCACATCCCCTGGATGGTGCACATGTATTAAAACCCCAAGCTCTTGGAGACTTTATTGTGATTTCAAATCTCCTTGGGCTGTGGTGGAGTTAGCGTGTACTTATTCCTCTAGTTTTTAAATTTCTGGAACCTATACATTTTAGGCTTTTTTGTGTATGTGGGGTGGAGCAAGTGGGCACAGAAATTTAATAATAGGCAGGAGTCCCCTCAACATTAGTTGCACCTGCAATATTGAGGGAAGGTCTGAGTGGTGAACTTTCTGACACACAAAACCAGCCAAAGGCTTCACATCGTTCACAGAATAATTTTCAACTTATGATTTGATTTTCAAAGTCCTTTAAGGCCCCTCCCCACCTCCTTTCTTCTGTGACTGCCACTCCCACTGAATGTCACTGCTTCAAAGTACTGTCTTTTTTTCTATGCCCTCATTGGGACTTCAAGATGTCATTCACTCTGCCTGAAAAACCCTTTTCTATCCCCTTTACTTGGTTAACTACTCATCCTTCAGGTTTTACTTTTCCCAGGATGCCTCCTGACTCTTCCAGATGGTTTCCATGGGACCCACGCCACCCCAGATCCCAGCACACACGTAACTATTTTTTCTGTGGTACAATTGTTCATCTTGCTATTTAACTCACTGGACTGTAAAGCCAAGGCCATGGTCATAAAGCACCCAGCTCAATGCCTGTCACACAACAGGTGCTCACACGTAACATGCTTCTTAAGTTTTTAAAAGTCTTTCTCTCAAAGGATAGATGCCATGTCTTATTAATTATTAATTCATTTGTTTATCCAGCAAACCACGTGCTGCACAAAAGAATAAGTAAAAACCATCGATTGCTCGGGTTGTGATACTCCTAGTGGTTCCTAACGTGATGAAACCACAGCATCGTAAGGACTCTTCCGGTCGCCCTGGGATAACCTGAATCAAGTCACAAAACTGCATTTGGGGAAAAAACACTTTTCCTTTGTGGATTTAAACCAACTTTAATAAACCCAGAACCAGACATCTGGTAATTCAATGAGCTACAATGACGACGATTTATCTAGACAAAGCTTCCAACTCCATCCCTGCAAATCTTACAAGGCAGGGAGAGAAAGTGGAGTTCACACACAGGGTCTCTTGGCTTAAGGGGCC